CCATGCTAAATGTTTAATGTTGATTTGAATTTTCTACTTTAAAACGTCATTTAAGGGTACTTAAAAATAAAAAAATAAAACATATAAAACCAATACATACTTTGATCTGTTCAGAATCTTGAATTTTGATAATAATATAGTACTGTTAATCCGTTTCTGTATACTTATTTGTAGTCCTCTCTCTAGAATTGTACGGTTTATTTTGTAGAACACATGCAATTACATTTAATAATATAATATATTTTATAATTCGTTTAGTAAATAATTGGTTACTTTGTTTTATTTGACTATGTTGGTATTGGCTATTAAAAAAAAAAAAAAAAAAATAAAACATTAAGTTTTATAGTTTGTAGAATATAATTGTTGTAATTAATAAATATATGGTTTGGTAGTGATTTAGTGTAGGTAACACAGCATTTCCTGATTCAATAAGTCATAACAAAAAAAGCGTTGAACTGTAAAATAAAAAAAAAAAAAACAATGTGTTAAAGAAACACGTTATTTTTTTTCAGAAAAGACCTGATCATTAGTTAGTCTTATTGATGTTATAGTTATTATGATTATCTATGTATTATACAATTGTCATCACAATACAGTTGTGAATATATTAAACAACAATTTTAATACATAATTATTTTTATGATAATTACCCCGTAGCTTGTTGTTTCGATTTCTCCAATTAACTTTATGTAGATGTAAGAACATAATATATTAATGTTGATAAATTATTTAGAAATTTAACTGATTTTAATTATACAATTTTATGTTTTCGTAATATTCTAGATAATAGTTCTTTACAATTTTAATAATTATACAACAGTGTTTGATTTTAAGATTTACATTGATAATAATAAAGTATTATAATTAAATGTCACTATGCACCTTATTATAGTATTTATTTTTCACTACAGACTTTTAACTACATACAAGCCTATTCTGAAATGTTCAAGATTCTTGAACAATGTTAATGTGTGAAATAAAAACACAGTATTTGAAATTATATTTATTGAATTTTATTCCAAAATAGATTAATTATAAGACAGTTTCAAAGAAGGATGATTAATGTTATTAAATAGTTACCTATTACATTGATAAATATATATAAATATAAATAATCTAAATCTACAAATCATTAATACAACAACATTATAAACTAAGAAAATGGCAAACTAGTACACTAAAAACGCGAGTAATTTAATTATTATCAGAAAAACTCATTGTGTCTTACATCTGCATTCATGAATAAAACCAATATTTTTTCGTCTATTCAACGAGTACACACAAGCATGTAATTATTATTAATTTAATCAAAATAATAATATTCATAATAATAAAATACGAAATACATAAATTTCATTTTAGACACAAAAAGTTTTCTTATACAATATAACTACAATGTCCATGAGTATATTGACTATAGAATAATAAAATAATTAATTTTAAAAGTGCAATATTATAATAGTTTTCAAGTAATAAATATTTAATATTTGTGCGAGTACTAGTTTATATAATTGTAGTAAATAATGTAAAAAAAAAAAAACACAAATTACAAAAAAAAAAAAAACAATATAATTGTATATGTACAATGTACACCGATCTTTTGTTGGTATCGTATCTATAATTGTTGATGTAATGTTTTTTCTTATTAGTTTACAGTAATCACTCTTGTTATTACATAAAAAAATTTTGACTGGCAACCGTATCAAAGATTAGAAATATTTAATTTATTTGTTAAACTTTACACCCAGAAAGTCGTCCATATTAGATCTTTTTAAGAAGTATAAATATTTATACAGCAGACGACTGTACAATATTATCTGAAGCTGAATGGCCAAATACGTAAAATCAGTACTGAGTACTGTTACCCTATAATTTGATCCTGGAACTTTGCTCGAGTATTGAAACTTTTAAGATCATCGAGTTTTTAAACGGTATCAGTGGTATGCCTGAATATTTTTTCCATCTTAATCGTACAAAGTAGAGTATATATTTAAAACATATCATATTGACATTAAGCCAAACAGTTTTTTAGATATATAATATTGCAGCTATAGTTTTATAATTTAATGGAAAAATGAACGAGATTCAAGTTAATAAGAACGTTTTTTCTTTTTTTTTTTCATACAAACTGTTTTGGTTGTAAAAGGATAAGTTAACTATATTATTACTATTTAGAAGTTTTAAAAGGAAAAAAAAAACGAGTGTATTACATTAAATTCGTATACATAATATCATTATTATAAAATTCAACTCTGTAATGTAGAACTTTTTATATGACGTACAGTGCGGAGTCTGATGATGTTATTTTATTTTAAAATCTAATCGCATTTATGTATTTTCCAAGAGCGCATTATTGTCTAGCGGGGACTTGAAATCATGGCGTATGGTGTTGAACAAAAAAAAAAAAAAACAAAAGCAAAGAAGGACAGTGAAATGTACATTTCCAATCCCTAGACAGTGCCAAAGGTTCATGACCTGTGGTGGGTTGATGCTGAATACCGATAACACGATACTGTTTTGCGGTACACAGGTGTAAATTCGGATTTCCTATGAAAAAGAGATATATTTTTTTTTTCTAAAGGGTTTTCAAGTGTATTGTTGGAATGAAGAAAAAGCAAGGTCGAGATCGGCAGTTTAATATTATTATCATGGGAAGACATTCGGCGCCGGTTTTCGTCACCAGAATCGAATTCGTTTCTATGTAAGCATCAACATTGGCGGAAATTCGTAGTATTTTTCGTTACCCGATTTTCTTTTTCTTTTACGCAAGTAACTTATGGTTGGTTGGTGGGGCCTGGGTTGAGTCTCGTGTCTTGCCACTACATTAGGTTTTAGTTATACTATCTTATACACCCCCAAGATTCCATTATTCAAAATATATAATATCGTAATTCGTGTTGATTTCTGGTGACATACCTACCAACAGTTCCGATGACCGACGGGGTGATGTTCACTAGAAGAGGAACGCTTTGTGGAAGTTTCGTGTAATATGCACACTTATACGAGATGTTTACCTACGTGCTAATATAAACGTAATATATGATTCAGTCATAATTACAAATATTATGCACAATAACTGTAAATAAATTATAAAGACGTTATTTTCGGTGAGTAAGAGGTATAATATGCGATTAGGTAGGTTGGTATGTAGGTTACGAATATTAGATAGGTTGTTACCGTTGTGATAGTTGAGTTCGCTCCCGTTCGTTTTGTTGATATTTCTCATATACAAGAGTGTTCGTTTTTTCCTTTTTTTTTCTTTCTTTTATCGTTTTATTTTTCACACCTACCCCTTTTTGCTTGATTTTCCGCTCATTCCTCTCAGCATGACGTTATTTATTTATTTGTTATTATCATTATTATTATTGTAATTTTTTATTTCTTTATAAGTGGGGCGACTTTTTTCTTCTCATCTATCCCAAACATTGCTACCTTTCTTCATTTTCCACCCGACTATTGTGCGCGCAAATAATTTAAAACCTAGCAGACAGTGACAATGGAGTTTTTCTACTACAATGCCCCTCCATTCCCATGAAAAACGTGAAAGAAAGTTAGGAATATCTTCAACAATATTATTCATAAGTATAATAATATTATTATTATTATTATAGTTATTTTTTTTCCCCGTTATTTTGTTGTTCACGAGTTGTGCGCTTTTTTTGACGTCAAAGGTTAAGTTAATTAAGAAAACAAAAATAATATTAACTTGTACATGGCGTTACAGTAAATCGTATACAGTAGTTATTTCAAACAATAAAAAAATAATAAAACCAAACAATAAATAGGAAAAAAAAGTTTGTATTAAAAATAAAAATGTACAACGTTTAAACGTGTTACTATTTTTTATCAATAATTTAAATATAGTTAATCGTAAATTCGTAAATTTACGTTGTAAATTACGAATATTACTAAAAAAAAAAAAAAAAATAATAAAAATAATAATTAATGTTTTTGAATAATTGCGTTTATTTTGTGCGTATACTTTTATAGAAATATATCAATATATAACTTTTATTGGCAAATCGGTGGAATTATTAATTTTTTCAAGAAACTTTTTATCATTAAATTGTTCTCATTTGTTGTTTATGAGCTGATAATGAATTTGGTTGTGTAATTTTGTATGACATTCTCTATAGATAAATTTAGATTGTCTACAGTTAATATATTTTTGACAGTATAAGTGGCATAATAATATTGTGACTCTATAGTTTTGAATTAGAATAAATTTATAATACTTAGTTCATGGACGTTATTTTGTACATATCTATATATTTACTGAATTATGGTAAGTAAGTTGTTAGTACTATTTTATAAATAGGTATATGGAACCAATATAAGTTATTCTACTTGATTTATTTTAATAACACCCCAATATGTATTGAACATTTTTTTTTTCCTTAGTAATCATGATAAAGTTATACATATTTCTTTAATGTTTATTTTTTCAGATTAATTAATTTTTTATTATTGTTTTTTTCTTTATTCCGAACATTTAGTCATTACTTTTACTTTGTTAAGCCCAATAGTTTTTATAACTCCTTATATAAGAATTTTATTTTATAGTAACATTCGGTAGGAAACATCATTTTGGTTTTAAATTTCAAAAACAACCAATCGGAATACGGTTTTGTAGTACACTAGAGATATTACTGACAAAAGTTTTCTTTTACACTTTTTTTTTTCAAAATTCCTTATTTGAATAAACAATCTTAAACATTACATATAACATATAGAATTAAGCGTAATTTTTATGGTAATACAACGAATCAGCTGTTAACAATGTTCCCGATATAAAACATTAACAACCAACAATATGATTACAATTGTTCTTACAATAATAGTAATTTACTATCATGCTGTAATAATATACTCGATTAATAATAATATTTATACCATATGAAAAAATAATAAAGTTAGTATAATGATAATAATAATAATAATAATAATAATAATAATAATAATATACTGTATGTAAATAATTAGTATTAGGTACTATTTAATAATTTAACCGTTTATAAATAATAAGTGAAATGATTGGCTTAACCCGCATTAGTAGCAACCAGACTAAATATAATATGTATGTAATTATAAATACGTGAATATGTGAATATTGAGTAATCCGAGTAAAACGTATAATAATAATTATTAAAAGTAATGAGAATGTGACAAATTTTTAATTAACATCAGTAAAAAAAAAACGAGTTAAAATCGTTTTTGACTTACATTAAAACATACATAGGTACTCGAACTTGAGTGTATTCATGCCAGTTCTGTATCAAACCATTTAACTGAATAAAATTCAACGAAATTAAGTGTGGAGATGTTGAACTTTGATTAATGTATTATACCTAATAATGATTGGATAAACTTTAAACACGACTAAAGATATTTTATTATTAACGAACAACAATACATAATTTTTGTTTTCTCAAACTAATTTTGAATAACTGACTTATAGTCTACGGGAAAATCGTGTACTAAATAATATTATTGTAGTTACTAGTTCTGTAAGTAGAGTAAATAGTTGCATGTCCGGTAAATTAGGTTTAAAGTTCTGATGGTTCAATATCATTTTTTTTCTGTAAGTTTTTATTTGTTCAAATATGAACTTATAAAATTATTTTACGATTCAATAATAAATCCTTACTATCTAGCTTTCTGTTTATTACTAAATTATTCATATATCTAGTTGCGTATGGTTTTTCCCCACATTGGTTTTTGATGTAATTAAATTGAATATTGTATTATTATTTTTATTATTATACTTTTTTATTATTATTATTATTTTTTGTGTCTATTGCAAAACATTTTAAAATTGTATTCTACACCATTGTTAAATAAATTATGGACTACAGTTGCGGTTAATACTATCATTGTTGATACCAATTTAATAGGCGATTAATTTGAAAACCCAGTAGAAAGCAACGGCATAAAAGATGGTGGAATAGATGTTGCTTGCAGCGTTTGGATCTGAAATAAAAGTGAAAAAAAAACATGATTAATAACATATTAATTGAATGTAATAAACGGTTGATATAATTTAGGTATTATTCTTTGGTAGAGAACAAACTATTTAATTTTAGTTTAGTAGATATTAGCATATAAAACTACCACCAAAGGAGGAGATGGAAATATACAGCTTATTTAATTCGGAAAGTGTATTTATAACCGAACCACGAAGAGACGAACAGATACTATCGAAGTTTAAATTGGCGTTTGAAAACTTTTTGTTTGTCTTTTATCACTTCGAAAGACTGAACGAAGTTGATAATAGTTTTTGCGCTTTTGAATTTTCAAAATTAAAAATTATTATTCGCTTGCGTTTTTATCTGAGGTCGATTATGCACGATACAATTTGTATAGATGAATACATTCAGTCGATGATATCACTGCAATTTTAAAGGAATTTGAAAGATTTATTTTTGTTCAAGTCTTTTATAAATTGGATATCATATGTTTAAAATGATAATAGTATATAACTATTGACGTTTATTTTAAACTTCACAACTAATACACTACTTAATAATATGATATAGTATTTACTGTATACCATTAACATCTTAATTTTATCATAATACTTTGATAATAAATGTGACTAACAAAAAAAATTAAGACCTTAATGTTTCAAAATACAAAGATATTATGAAATTATTGTTAAGTCATCGATGTTGGTTCTTTATATAATAATATTAAAATGTAATTTTGAACCTATTTTCGTACACTACAATATTGATAATAGGACACTTAACGGCTATACAAAAAGAACATGTGTCATCAGAATGTCAAAATTAATTTTAATGCCTTAGGTAAGTAATTAATTATGGATTTATTGTAATAATTTGTAATTATTATAAGTAGATACACAATACACATGCTGACATGCGTTGTAACCTGTAGCTATACAACAATAAATTACTTTAAATTAATATTTATGATACATCATCTGTAGTGTAAAATAATGATAAATATTAATCTTTAATTCAAAAGAACATTAATTATAGTATTTATATTGATAATAATCGGGTTGAATAAAGAACCCATGAATTATATCAGCAGAAAAATACTTCAGAAAAACCGAATTTTATTCTGAGTTGTCAAAAATTTTCGAATTATTTGTGTATGGGAAATCAAATATTTGTTGTAGTACGAGTAATGAGTAATCGTATATTTTAAGTAAAATAAAGATTACTTAGTCATATAAGGGCTGCATTTTAATTCATCAGATTGCTGCATCTTTGTGACTAAATTTTTTTTAACCGAGTATGTATTATTTTAACTTATAAACATTTGAATTGTAGGTTGTAATATTATTTTTAATACGCAATACTCACAAATAATAATTTTTAATTTATAATGTGTTATAACTACTATGATGATGTAGCAGATTTACATAAACTACTAAAAGAAATGTTCATCGCAAGTATTACTTGTATATTTTTAAAAACGTAACCATTAATAAACATAATACTGCTTTTGATTGTATTATAAACTTAGCAAGACAATCTTGTAATGGCATACTGCCAATTAAATACTCTCAACACAGTTAACTGACTGTGAACCGATATTATTTTGAGCATAAAATATAGCTGATAAGTGATAATTAAAATAATAATACCAAGTATAGATAAAATAAGTATAGTTGATAAAGTGAAGTGGTTTTTACATCAGATAAGTAAAGTTAAGTTGAGTTGTTTAAATATATATTATGTATGTGTGTATATTATAATATATAGTGTAAAAGTTTTCGAATCTCATTCAAATTAAACAAATTTAATATGGTGCATTTTCTTTAGATATTATTTTTTTATATCTGTGTTACTTATATCTAGGATATTTGGAATTTACTTTGATGTGTTACTATTATATTATACGACATAAACGTGTAATTCGGATTAATTTATGCTATGGTTTTATAATTGCCTAAATATGTCATTTTAAAGTTTAATTGATTTTTTTTTTTTTGGTTTAATATTAAATTAAAAAGAAAAGTTAAATATAATACATACTATACATATCAATTACATTAAAAAAACCTACATCTTGTAGAACAAAAAAAAAAATATAACCAATCTACATCCTTTAGTTTAAATAAAATAATTTTCTTCTTAAATATTAAACTTTTAACATACAATTGAATTATATGTTAAGTAATTATAAATATGTATTTATTTTATTCATACATAATATATACAAAATTATTTGTATAATATAATTCGTTGTAATTTCTTCAATATTTTGTTTTGTTTTAATTTTTTTTTTTATCAAACCAAATCGTAAATAACTTGATTAGGAGGACATCGTATAAAAGCAGCATTCAATTAAATATTCAAATCACTTAAAGTTTTGGTCTATGGATAAAATACAAGAGTGCATTTAAATTGTAATTGAAAGTAATAAAAAGTTTAATTTTTAAAATTTACAATGAAGTTGGATGTTTTTTCCAATGTTCTAATCTATATTGCAATGTAACTAATTTTAATTGCATAGCCACTTTATATAAAAAAAAAAAAAAATAATGATATTAATTCAATATAAAGTGGAGAAAAAATATTAAAAGTAAAAAAAAATAGAAGAATAAAGTAATAATGATTCAAAAAATTACATTTTCTTTCAGTGGCCAAAGTGGTTCCTTTTGAAAAAGCACGTTAAATTTTAATAAAAACTTATGGTGGGGTGTCTGTATATCCGCGCGTGATGCTCTATAAAAAGCTCTTGTCGGATTACGTATCAGTGGAAAAAAAATCCATCGTATCTAAACTATATATATATCACCCCCACGCATATTACACAACACATGTGCGTTATATATATATATAGAACATCATATTTATGTGTATTGTATATTGTACATGTACTCCAAAGACTTATCGTGCAGTACGTGATCTACTCGCATCTGTCGATCGTCGGTCATATATGAATGAGCGCAAATGGGGAAGATAAATATTCATGCCGAAAGCAACGGTGAGAATATAGACACGGGATTGTTTGTGAGTTTTGACGGTGAGATCTCAACGGAATTTTTCTTCTGCGCAGTGGGTTTCGATAGTGAATACAAACAAAATAAAATAAAATAAGTGAAGTGATAGACTTTATTGTTACGCACATTATCTATTGCCTCATGTGATTGGTATCTACACAATACTCATATTATACATATTATACATAGTTTATTCGCGTTGGACTACAAAACTTTTTATAAGTATAATTGAATCGTACTCTGCAGTATATATTTTCAAAGGTCATAAATGACGTTTCAAAACTTGAAGTTACTTGATAATATAGTTTTAAAGGTAACGCGTCCACGAAAAAGCTTACTCTTAAAATTTACTTCATCGTTAATGTTACACGAATAGTTCGATTTTTGAAAAAAATGAGTTATAGCAAGGTTTACGTATTACTGCAAGTATACTCGTAGGTGTTACGTAAAAAAAAAAAAATGCATTCATAAATTTATAATAATTTGTTAATATTCAAGTATATAATATTGACACATACGTTAATTATATTTATTACAACTGGCTATTCCGGTCTCTAAACTAGTTTCCATATTGATCATTGAATTAACTAACGAGTACATTTATAAAAAGCGTAAAAGTGCTAATGGTTATTTAATGGTCAACATTAATTATGTTGTAAAAATATGGAATTATCATGAGTGGAATAAAAAGCAAACGTTTTTAACTACTCCATTTATTCATTATTTAAATATTGTTTGACCTGGAAATATAGGTTTATTGTCGGTCATAAGAACTCATTATAAGCACATAATATATATATAAAAACTAAAAATGATATGTAAACGTGTGGACGAAAAAAAATATATCTTATATAAAGTTTTTTTTTTTTTTAACTCGTGTATCTTCTGTAAAACTTCATACAAAAAATGAAATAACTCTATGGATACGTTTTTATGATGTGTTAGTTTAATAAGAAAATGGAAAATGAAGTACACAGTGTTATACAAAATATTATGTATATTATATTATATATTTGTATATAATGTTCATTTTAACATTTTAATAAATTAACTGAGGTAAATTTGTAAAAGTAATGAAGTCAACTACCTACCTATAAAACATAAATTTTGAATGAATTAACGATCGCGCGGAAAAATTTGAATAATATGGTTTTCATTTAATTCAACTATTTCAACTCGATTAAAGTGTGAAACGTAATTTAAGCCATTTTAAATAATAATAATAATAATAATAATAATAATAATTATAATAAAAAAAACATATATTAATTACGAACACACTATATGTCTATATCAAACAATGAGTGGATAATGAACGCGAATGTGCGTCATCACGTCACAGAAGACAAAACACGGTTAGAAGATAATACAAAAACCACGTGTGAAGTTGTCGTATCTAACTTTCAAAGGCCACTGTTGTCTATATCACAGTACCTATGAATCATTGAGGATGATATTACACTATTGTAATAGTAATGGCATTTCAATTTTATGAGTGGCTATCATAACACCGCGTTATCGTATGTAACAATAATTTCTTGCGTTGAATTTAAGCCGTGGACAACGATAAATAAATAACGCGTTGACAATGATTGTGTAACGTAGTTACGCGATAAAATCGATTTTGTCCAACACTGTTTACACGGAATTTGAAGTATAGATACCTACCTATACATATAAGTACAACAACTATATAGTGCGCCCGTATCGAGTACATCTGTATTTACACTCATAATAAAACCCCTGTAGGGCCATACACATTATATTGTGTAGTAGTCGTATCAGTTCGTATCATTCGCGAAACGATAATGCCAATAATAATAATACGTATTCTATAATATCATGCCCGGTACGCCGTCCAATCGGTGGTCCTATTATACGGGTTTATATATGTATTTATGTGTGTGTGTGTGCAGAGATACCTACGTATCCGGCATGACACGTTAATGAAAGAATATTATTATCGGTCACAAATACATTTGGATCGTACACA